GTCTCAGGATTACAGGTACACACTACATCCAGCTCCATATTTGTCATTTTCCATTCACTCATTTTTGGTTGTATGTCTGCCTGCCTGCCTCCGTCTCTCTCTCCTCGGTTTTTCGAGGCAGGGTTTCTTTGTGTAGCCCTGGAACTTACTCTGTAGACCAGGCTGGCCTTGAACTCAGAAATCCAACTGCCTCTGCCTCCCAAGTGCTGGGATTAAAGACATGCCTTGGCTGTTTGACTTTTTAAACAACCTGGTTATGCCAGGTGGTGGTGGTGCATACCTTTAATCCCAGCACCTGGGGGGCAAAGGCTGGTGGGGAAAGGCAGCCTGGTCTACAGAGCGAGTTCCAGGATAGCCAGGGCAACATAGAAAACCCTGGCTCAAAAAAACAAAAACAAAACAAAACACAAAACCCTCTCCCCTTATTTGAATTCACTCTCCATTAGAATTGGGATTTCTGTCTGCCACTGACTCACAAGTATCTTAAACCTCAAGAGCAAGATCACATCACAGCTCTTAAATACTTGTTCCTTGAAGAAATGAAGGAGAAGGTATAGGGAGATGGCTCAGTGGGTCAAGGACCTATCACACAAATATGAGAATTGAGTTTGGGTCTCTGACACTCATGTAAAAACCATGTGTTGCGGGGCTGGAGAGATGGCTCAGAGGTTAAGAGCACCGACTGCTCTTCCAGAGGTCCTGAGTTCAATTCCCAGTACCCACATGGTGGCTCACAACCATCTGTAATGAGATCTAGTACCTCTTCTGTATATACAATAAATAAATAAATCTTAAAAAAAAAAATGTGTTGCAATATGAGCCCATGACACAAGAATGAAAGTGAAGAGGTGGGGAAAAAAATGCCTCTAACCTTAGGCCTCTCACCCAAGGACTGGTACCACCTGAGGTGAGAAAGGCTGTTGTTCATAGAAGATAACAAGCCACATGTTTTCACTCCCCTAAACCAGTTTGGTTGACCCAGCTGCACTGGATGTGCTTAATCACAAGTAGGCAGGAAATACGTCAGGATGTATGCTTGCCTCTGATTGGACAAAAGCAGAAGGTACTTAGTCTTGTGGGTTTGCCTTTATAAGCGCCTGGTCATTTTCTGGCAACCTGGAATGGACCTGGCCAGAGTCCATTATCCTGGGCAGTATTTAATTAAAGCTTGATTCAAATTTGATGGGATTAACAATCCCTGTACTTAGCATGCAGAAGGATAAAATGTCCAAATTCAACCTCTGCAACAGGAATCAAGGTCAGCCTACATGAGACTTTATCTCAAAAAAAGTAAAATAATAAAACCTACACTTCTTTCCACTATGTATCCTACTCCTGAAAAAGGCTCTACTTTGTATCTAGCTGCACAAGGTGCAAACATGTGCCTTGACTGACCCTCTCTATTTACAATCCACCCAGTTCATGTTAATCTAAAGATCCAGCTGAAAGTCATCCACTTCATCCTATCTCCACGCCACGACTCAAGTCCAAGCCTTCACCGTCTCTCATGGCTCTTACTATGATGGAACCTCTCCAATCTGTTCTCTTTGATTTACTTCCTTGAGAGGTGTGGCCTTGTGGAAAGAAGTGTATCAATGGGGGTGGTGGGCTTTAAGCCCATGGCAGGCGGTCCATCTGTCTTGGCCTGTGAATCAGGATGTAGCTTTCAGCTACTGCTCTAGTGTCATGAGTATTGTCCCGCTCCCCAGTATGATGATAATGGACTAAACCTCTGAAATGTAAGCCAGGCCCCCCCGTTCAATGTTTTCTTTATAAGAGTTGCCTTGGTCATGGTGTCCCTTCACAGCAGTAGAACAGTGACTAAGACACTCATGATGTGACCCCCATACATTCTGCTTTCAGCTCCTCTAGTATGTCTTCCTCTTTGCTGCCCCAAAGGTCTCTGCATATGAATTCTCACTCACTTCTACTTCAGTTAGCACTCCTGTTTAAAGTAGTCATCTCTATTTAGTTTCTAGTTTGTTGCTGGGTTGTTTGCTGTATAATTTTTACCTTGGCTTTCGCTATACTACTCCAGTACAAGCTCCCTATGAGATCTTTCTGAAGAAGTCCAACATATACCACCTGCGGTCTCTTTCCGCTGTGAGATCTGCCATCCTCCCTACTCCAACCCAGCTGGAGCACTGCTGCCACCTCAGTCTGCAGGCCAGGGGGACCTGAAAACTTCGCTACGGCAGCCTAAGCTATGATGCCAGCCAGGCCAAGATGGCCACAGGCTTCTGTGTGACACGCCCAAATCTACATGGAAGAAGACGCCTGCTAGAGCAGTCACCAGCAAGACCCCTCCAACCAGAAGCATTCCACTGCTTGGTGGATACCTCACTTCTCCAGCAGCTCTGAGCCTGAAGACTGAACACTGTTCAAGCTGCAAGCATGGGTGGCACACACTCCAATTCTACAAAATGGCCTCACAGCTGGTGCTGGAAGAGCACCCCCCCTTCAACTTACCCCTCCGTGCACTAGAGCAGGTCAGCTGGACACAGCAGGCCAGCAGACAACTCGTGTGTTGTTCAGAAGACACCAATGTTTCAGTTAGAGAGGGGAAGGAATACACAAACATTCTTTCAGGGAATTGTCCCAAGGGATTTCTGCCTAAATGAGAATTTCATAAGACTCATAGGTATCTCAAAAATCTCCCCTCAAAAAACTAGGCTGTAATTACAGATTAAAGTGAGGTGGCAACTAGATTCATTTAATGCACTTCAACAGCAAATGACTTTAAATATCCAATAGCTTGTTTTAAAAAGAAAATAGGCATGGTGGTGCTGTAATCCTAGCACTTGACAGAGGCAGGAAGATCAGGAGTTCAAGGCCAGCCTGGGCTACAAGAGACCCTGTCTTCGTCAATCAATCAACCTAAAGAGAACATTCTCAATGACTACTCTTCACATAACTCTGAATTACCAAACCAGTTGCTCCTCTAAATCTACTATGAGGATTTCAAAGCACAGTCTTTAAACTTAGAGGTATAACAGGCTGGAGAGATTGCTCAGCAAAACCAGCACACTCTGCTTATGCAGAAGACTCAGATACAGTTCCTAGCATCCATGCTGGTTGCTCAAACTGCCTAAATTCCAGCTAAGCAAATCTGACATCCTCTTTTGGACTCTGCAAGCACCCTCCCCACACTACATAATAGAAAATAAAATAAATCTTTTTTTTTAAACTTTTTATTTTATGTGCACTGCTATGAAAGTGTCAGATCCCCAGGAACTGGAGTTACAGACAGTTGTGATCTGCCATGTGGGTGCTGAGAAATGAACCCGGGGTCCTCTAGAAGAGCAGCCAGTGCTCGTAACTGCTGAGCCATCTCTCCAGCCTCAATGTTCTATATTTTAGAATCTGTGACTTAAGCAGCTGGAGAGATGGCTCAGTAGTTAAGAACACTTGTTGCTCTTACAGAGGACTGGGGTTCAATTCCCAATGTCTGCATGATGGCTCACAACCAAGCATCTGTAAGCCCAGGTCCAGTGGATCCAACAAGCATGCACATGGTTCATATACATGCACACAGGCAGACACATAAAGTAAATAAGCTTCTTTAAAAAAGAAGAATTTGTGACTCCAAATATTTAATCAATATTTCACTAAATGAATAGGGAACAAGGGAACTAGAAAAGGAGACTTTCCTAAGCATAAAATCCTGAGCCCTAAAATAGTACTAGCCTTCAAAGTTTCTGTAAGATCAACAGTTAGCCATACTTTCAGTTTTTGTAAATAGATCTGCACAAACCCCAGCCCTCCCTGAGGACTCCAGTAACACTGTCTGCATGCTCCTGCTCCATTTGCTCATAGAGCTCTCAGCTGTGGAGGCAGATCTCAGCCTCTGGGCACAGCTTCACAGTAGCGGTTCTGCAAACACAAGGGCATGTGAACTGGCTTCTCCAACCTTTAAGACAGGATCACCCAGTCCACAACTTTGAGAGATGCCATAACTCAGTCACTGAAAACTGAGATCATGCCAGAGATGAAGCTCCTGCCTTCTCACCAGGACCCTTTCTAAAAGGCTAAGCTGACCCCAGCCTAAGCCAACCAGTATGGCAGGGCTGAAGTAAATGGGAAGCACCCAAGGAAAATGAAAACCCAAGTCCTTGGTGTTGAGACTGAGCTCCAACCTTGAAGAGCCAAGTGAAGACTGTTCAGGAAAAGCTTGCCAATGAAGCTAGCAGAGCATTTTACACCCCAGGGACTCAATTTCCTCATGGAACCAGCATTTCCAATCTAATGACTGACACTTCAAATAGACAGGACTCTCATGAGTGCAAAAACATTGCTTTGTTTTTGTTTTAAAGGAAAGATTCAAATGGAAAGGAGAAAAGAAATCTGTTTTCCAGTGTAATTCTACCATCCTGGGATCGTGTGGCGTGCACCTACTATGGAATCTTCCCACACTCCCAAGTAACCAGCAGAGGCACGTCCATACACTCCCGAATATCTGAGCTGGCAAGAACAGGTGTTAGTCAAAGACCTCAGCCCTGAGACAATAGCTCCTGTCAGTCAACTACAGTTCTCACGACTCTTTCTGCTCTCCGACTTCATTCCAAACACAACTCACACCTGTGCAAGCACCTGAGCAAACCACACCAATGCATTCACATAGTGGCACACTGATTTTGGACAGGTACCAATACTAATATTATGATAAAACACCATTTATTTTTATTTTTATTATTTTTTTTATTTTTTGAGACAGGATCTCTTTATGTAGTCCTGGATGTCTTAGAACTCTCTATGTAGACCAGGCTGGCCTAACACTCACAGAGAACCATCTGCCTCTGCCTCTCAAGTGCTAGGATTAAAGGTATGCTCCACTAAACCCAACTACAATTTTATTTTTAATGCAAAGACTTAGATGAGCATATGACCCTAGGCATTTTCACAGCAGATTTGACAAGGAACCCGAGACACCAGGAACATATGCTTGAGTCCATGCCAAGAGGCCTCTGGGAGAAGGCAGAAATCAGCAGTCCGTTACTTACCTGAGGCCAATGGGCGAATCCACTCTTTGCTATTTAGGTCGAGTCTCCAGAGGTCATTGAAGGCGGCATTGCAACTGCTCTGGGTGCAGCCTCCAAAGACATACATAGACTGATTGGCATCGTAATAGCACGCACCTGCAGGGGCAGGGGAAACAAGAAACATGGACTGCAGCTTAATTTAGAGGTATCTTCAACACCTTAACCATAACCCCTTTTTTTCCAAACTCTAATATTCTACACATTCAACAACTCCTCTGTGCCAGACACTAAATTCCTATCCCCAACTTGTCCTCATATTGATCAATATCACATTAGTCTTGCAAAGAAAGCCAAGAGAAAACCTATGAACATTTTTTTTAAATTAATATTTGTAATTTTTTAAGATTTTTTTTTTTTTTTTTTTTTTTTTTGGTTTTTCGAGACAGGGTTTCTCTGTGTAGCTTTGCGCCTTTCCTGGAACTCACTTTGTAGCCCAGGCTGGCCTTGAACTCACAGAGATCCGCCTGGCTCTGCCTCCCGAGTGCTGGGATTAAAGGCGTGCGCCACCACCGCCTGGCTTTAAGATTTATTTTTATTTTATGTTTATGGGTGTCTTTCTTGCACGGATGTAATGTGCACCATGTATGTGCAGTGCTCATGGAGGCCAGAAGAGGATGTTAGATTCCCTGAAACTGGAGTCACAGATAGTTATTAGCTGCTGTGTAGATGCTGGGACTGAACCCAAATTTTCTGGAAAAGCAGCCAGTGGTCTTAACAGGCAAGCCATCTTTCCAGCCCGAAACATCTTATTTCTGAGCGCTAAACAAACTAACAATAACATCATGGAGCAAGATGGTAGGATTCCTGGAAGAGCAACATGCATTCAGACAGTGGCTGCTTGAGAGTGACGCTTCTCTGAGCCCAGCGGTATCACTCTTACACTGCATCCTGTCCTAGAGCATGGCAAAGCCGGCATACACACGTGTCCTTCCTGTTTCCCATGGACTGTTCTCTAAGTTTTGTATTTTCAAATGAAAACTGAAGCCCAAACCTTCCTATGAAACACGACGACAACAACTGTGAACACGGCTGTAACCAGTGCCATGACAACCATACCGACACCCACGTGACTACCCAAGACAGGTTTTCGTGAAGTGAAAACACAGCAGAGGAAGCAGCAGTTGAAGCCCAAAGCAACTGAAGGGGAAGCAGAAAGCTATTGGACCCCTGGGCGTGCTGGCTGGTGTGGACTACATCAGACAGAAGGAAACACCTGAAGAGAAGCAAGGCCACAGGAGAGCCAGTTAGCAGTCGACTCTATGTGCATCACCAGAGCATTCCCAAGAAACAGAGGCAAAGAAAAGAGCTAAACCCAGAGAGACCTAATCCAGAGTTCAGATGAGAGGTGGGAAAGCTGAGCTCTGCTGGCATCTCCCTGAAGGCTCATCAAGCTGCTGTGTGGTGGTATTTCACTTGTACTGAAATGTGATTTTAATTGTATGTTAATAAATAAAGTTGCCTGGGGGTCAGAGCTATTAGAGCCATAGCAAGTGCGTGGCGGCGGTGGCGCACGCCTTTAAGGACCTGGAGGGCGGTACATACAGGCAGTCACGTGTTTGGGTTTACAACCAATGAGAAGGCAGAACAGTTAGACTATATAAAGACATACACACAGGAAGTAGGCCCCTTTCGGAGAGCTCTCTTGGCTGAAGAGGATCGCTGAAGCAGGAAGGGTGAGGCTCTTAGCTCTGACCTCTTGGCTTTCTTCTCTGAATCGGCTCTGTGTTTCTTATTTAATAAGACGGTTGGTTACATCTACACTGCTGTCCTTAGGAAAAGATGAACACAAGCCCTGCAGCTTCACTTTAACAGTTGGGCTCCAAGAAGAGACTGAGCAAAGCTTCTCTTAGTGTCTACATCATGCCACACAGGGTAGGGGAGTTACCCCTCATTTCTCATATGAAACCAACAGTAGGTGTCACATGAAAGGAAGGACAAAGAGTAAGAATTGCAGCGTTCTGAGACACTAGTGCTTAGCGGCAGGGATCACCTAGCGATCTGCTGCAGGTGCAGTTCAGTCTCACAAACCACTACTTTAGGTCTCTTTTCAATTGCAATGCCACTTACTCAAGTTCAGAAAAAGGGAAATGCTCCTACACCGCAGCCCACCCCGTATCCGCTGCCACTGTTAGAGCAGCGGTGTGCATCAGCTCTGGAGTTAGCAGCTCTCTCTCTCACCTCCAAGACTGTCAGGCCTGGAAGCAAGCTCATTATGAAGGGCATGTCAGAAACTAGCTGAATGGAGAGAGAGACCCGTGTGCTTCACTGGTTCCCAGTGATCTCAGCCAAGGAGTAAATGACTGCAGGTGTCACTGCAGGGACAATAAATGCAGTGCTGTCACAGACTCACCCCCACTGCTTGCCCAGCACTCACAGCAGTGATACAGGGAGCTTCAAGTGTTCCGGTCTGGTCTGGTCTGGTCTTGTTTGTTTGTTTGTTTTTGAGACAGAGTCTATGTAGCCCAGGCTGGTCTAGATCTCACAGAGATCCGCCTGCCTCTGCCTCCTGGGTACTGGGATTAAAGGCGTGTGTCACCATGCCCAGCCTTTAAATGTTAACCTGTCTATGGACTCTACTTTTGGTTTGAAAATAATTTTGAGGGGCTAGAGAGACAGCTCAGGAGTTAAAAGCACTGGCTGCTGTTCTTCCAGAGGACTGGGGTTCAACTCCCAGCCCCCACATGGAGGCTCCTAACATCCATAATTCCAGTTCCAATAATTTGACACTCTCTTCTGTCATTCCAGGGTACTACATACACATGGCCCAAAGACATACATGCAGACAAAAATCCATATACATATAATAAAGTAATTTAAAATCTTTTAAATAATAATTTGAATTTATATCTAAATGAGTTACTTTGTCTTCACAACAAAAAGTCAGTTTTAAAAGTCGAGTCTAGCATTGTCTGCAGAGCAAGTTCCTGGCTAGTCAGGGCCACACTGTGAGCACCTGTCTCAAAATAAAATAAGATAAAGCAATATAAACAATAGAGTAAAAAGTAGAGTCTAGTAAAATCCCATTGCTCACATTTGCTAAGCAAGCACTGTAAATAACAAAGAATTAGGTTAAAGGGCATGACAGGAATGGGGACAATTCTGGCTCTACGTTTGGATCTCCAGTAAAGAAACTCACCAGCTCCAGGTTATCTTGGTCCCACAGAGACAGGAGCTCACTATATAGTCCAAGCTTGCCTTGAGCTTGTGGTGATTCTCCTGCCGTAGCCTCCTGAGTACTATGATTACAGGTATGGATTACACACCTGGACTCCCTCAGACTTGGGATGAACTAGTAATTCCAATGAATGGGCAATTATGAAGATCTAACAGTATTCCAGAACTTCTGAAATGTAACATTTATTACAACACTTGATAAAGCAAATCTGGGCCAGCAAGACGGCTCAGCTGGTAAAGGTGCTTGCCGACAAGGCTGATGACCTGGGAACCACATGGTAGTGCAGGCACACACACACACACACACACACACACATCATAAACACTCTGGGTAAGGCAAACCCCTGAGTCCCACTAGGAAGTCAAGGCTAGTTCACGGCACCTCGAGTCTACACACAGCTCTGAGCAGCAGTTCCCTTCATGTAGCAAAAGAGCAGAGTGCCTTTGTTTTTCAAAGAGATAGCAAACATTCTTCTCTCTGTTTGGATTGAAAACCCAGCTAGTGGGGCCCCATGAGGGCCTTCACATGTATTTTAATCCTATCCTAAAATAGGGCAGGCTGCATTTTCCTGTTTCTCTCTGAGCAAACAAAGGTTTCTGAAGCAGGAACGTGGGCCCCAAAGCTAAGGTACTGAGATGCAAGTGACACACACCGAGTTCGGTGACCATTGGTCAAGCATTAGCGAAGCAACTGTTAATTGCCTTTGACTCAAGTTCTCCACCCAAATAGGCTTTCCTTCTGGAACATCTAGACCTCTGGAATGTCACAATACTTAGAGCTCACAGCAGCGTGTATCCTGCACTAAGAAATGTAAAAGCTGTGTGTTCCAATTGTTAAATCCCCAAGCTTGTCCCAAGTAGGTTAGCCTGCTCTGTGAACAGCTACCACAAGACACCTATCTCAAATTGTCCACAGTCTCTATCCAGAGACAAACCGCGCAGCCACGATTTAACTGTATACACACATGCCAACAGTTCTTCGCAGACCAGAATAGTTTTCTACTGAACTCCAATCATCTCAAGATCTTCGGGAATCTGGATTTCCATGGTGCCTGTAACAATCCCTAAATGTTCCCTGAATGAGCTGCACACTCTAACTTTCCAGACTTTCAGATGTTAAACTCTCTTTTATTTCCCACTGTCACCAGGGAAAGGCCCTGAGGCATTTATCCCATGCAGAAAGAGACTATGCTGTTATGTGTCTCCCATCTACAAGCCGGAACATATTTGATAAGGTCTGTAATTACATAACTCAGGACAGGCGAGGGTGGTGATCCAGTCTGGGCCTGCAGGCTCCTGCAGGTGCCAGATCAGCAGCATGTGGAACTACCTGACTATATGAGAAGCCTAAACACTTCAATGTTGGGGATTCTCTATAGTAATCTGACAAGGGTATCCTCCATTAACCAAGGCTGGCGTGATTAGACTTGCAGACATTCACCAAAGATTACAAAACTTATATTTGTTGTGTGTATGGCTTTTTAATTTTTTTTAAAATTAATCGTGTGTGAGTGTGTGTGTGTGTGTGTGTGTGTGTGTGTGTGTGTGTGTGTGTGTATGCATGCATGCCAAGGAAGGTATGTAGAAGTCAGAAAACTTGCAGGAGTAGGTTCTCTCTTCTGTGTGGGTCCTGGGAATTGAACTGAGGTCTTCAGTCTTGATGGTAGGTGCCTTTCCCTACTAAACCATCTCACTGACCCATATTTGTTGTATTTAAGCCTATAAATCTTGACAATTATTAAAATGTATTCATAATGATGTAGATACTCAAATAGAACTGCTGTTATAAAGGATTTGCTAGTATATCTGCTTAGGAGACATCAAGACACATAAAACAGAACTTAGGGAGCTGCCTCCTAAATACCCTGAAGATGAGTGAGTAGTCTACTACTCAGGCCTGTTAGAGACAAGCAGAACTTAGGATGACAGGATGCTAATGTTCACTCATCAGTATTAACCAACCATTAGGCTCCACTGTCATAACAAAGGAGGCAACCTGACTTACAACCAGCCATTAGGCCCAACCAGCCATTAGGTCCATCCCCGTACCAGCTCAAGGGGGCAACACAGGTTCACAACCAATGTTAAGTCCTGGCCTGCTGTATAGCCTCTCAGTTCTCTTTTTTAAAAAAGCATAATTCTGCCAGGTGAGCAAGATGACCTTAGGTAACAACTATTTGAAAAAGAATAACACTGGCGTACTAAAATAATTCTGGCAGTATCTTTGCTATGTAGATCTCCCATCTGCCTAAGTGACCAGGCTTGCAGTCTCCTGACTCTATTTAAATTGTTCAAAATGTAATGTGGGGCCGGGACCTGAAAGAGATTTAAGGATTACAATGTGTGTGAAATGCATAAGCCTAAGGTATATATAAGCTAGAGAAATCTTCTATTTGAGGCTGGTTCCTCTTTGGGCATTAGCCAGAGCCCAGCATTCATTATATTAAAGAGCTTTTTCATTTATTAATCCCTATGTGCATGGAGTGATTTCTCATTGGAAAGGCATATTAATTCTAGAACTAGCTATGAACTGGGTGCTAAGAAGTACAATGTGGGACCTATCCTCAAGAACACACCACCCGTGGAAGAGACATACTCACATCCAACAGCCTAAATAATATTTTGACGAGTGTTTCTCAACTACATTTCTCAGCAACCTGTAACATAAACAGTATCTGCTACATACATCTTACAAATAGAGAAACCGGGTAAGAAGCCCAAGGAATTTGGTTCCCAGATGCAAAGGTCTTTGCTGTTGACAGAGCTTCACTGACAGAGACAACGGTAAGGAGGAAGTTGTGAGTGTCAGGAGAGCAGAGGGACAGTACAGTGGAGAGGTCAGGGTAGTTCTCCAACAGTGTGGCTTTTTCTGTTTTTGTAGGAGCAAGGTCTACCTTTAGTTCCATCCAGCTTGTGATAGAGAGAAGGAAAAAAGACACTTAGAAATGTACGGGGGTGGGGGGGTACTCAGTTCACGTTTTCTTTGAATGAGGCTCAGGGTTTCACCTCCAGCATCACAAGAGAAAAAATGAAGAATGTATTGTGATGGTGTTTAGATCAGATTATGAATTAAGAGTGATATGAAAAAAGAAAAGGCTTGAGCCAGAACAGAAACTTGGTTTTTTGTTCTGTTTTACATAGAATCTCAGGTAGCCCAGGCAGACCTCAAACTCATTAAGTAGCCAGGGCTGGCCTCGAACTCCAGATCCTCCTGGTTCCACCACCAAAGTGCTGGGACTACAAGCATGCACCACCACATCCAGCTTGGATCTTGAGGGTAGGAACTGAGAATGAATCCAATACCTCAAGTCTGTGTATCCAAGATGATGATGACATTCACTAAATTAAGGAAGGGAGAAAGTTGGGAATAGGGGGCCACTGAGCTCTACTTTTAGCTAACTGAATATGAAACATCCAGTATCTCCATGGTAACGTAAGTGAAGAATTAAAAATGCAGATCTTGAATTAGCATGAATTAGGGATATGAAAGAAAACTGAGGGATCAAGAATAGATACAGAATAGAAAAAGGATGGAGCCAAGGGGGAAAAATTAAACCCTTAGTTTTCTTTTAATTTTAAAATTACATTTATTAACCGGGTGGTGGTGGCACATGTCTTTAATCCCAGCACTCAGGAGGCAGAGGAAGGCCAAGCTCTATGAGTCCAAGGCCAGCCTAGTCTACAGAACAAGTTCCAGGACAGCCAAGGCTACACAGAGAAACCCTGTCTCAAAGTAACAAACCAAATTACATTTATTTCTTTATTCATTCTGTGTGCCTGTGTGGGAACCCTGTGCCAAGGTGCATGTGTGGAGGTGAGATGATAATTTTGGGAACTGGTTCTCTCCATCTACAGTGTGGGTCCTGGGGATCAAACTCAGACTGTCAGCCTTGGTTGTAAGAACCTTTACCTGTTCAGCCATCTCGGCAGCCCCAGAATCCTTAGTTTTTAATCCATTTGCAATTGCCCTTTTTTCTGTAACGGTCCTTTTTAGTTTGCCAGTCAGCTAGGCAGTGTATAGAGACACACTCAGACAAAAAACAATGAGATACAAACTTTTTTTTTTTTTTTTTTTTTACAAAATTACCTTATGACTCTTTCCTAGATTTCAAACAGTATGGTGAGCCACCCTTACCAGAGGCTCATAGTAACAGGGCCTCTAATTCCTGGCTGGAATGTCCAGCAATGTGAGGTAAGTAAAGCTTTCCATTCAGAAGCTGACTGCCTCCAGTATGCTGCTGTGATGACATAAAGCTGACTAATGCATCCAGACTTACTCTTCTCTCACTGGTGGACAGTCTCAGGGCTGGGGACATAGCTCAGTGGTAAAGAGCCTGCCCTCAGCAAGAGGCCCTGACTTCGATCCCCAGCCTTGCAAAATCCAGAGCAACAGTCTTCAGAAACCCTATCAACTTCTCTTCCTCTATCTGTAGCAGTAACACACACTGAATCAAATATGGACCCTGATAGCTAGAATGTCATTTGTCTAGCCATTCTGGATCACTATCTGCAAACTCCAGAAACAGTTGAGATCTTTTGAAAACTCTTTCAATAACAGCAGTAATGATAATGTCACTTGCCTTCTGCTCTGAGACAAGGTTCTGCTAGACAGCCCAGCTGGTCTTGAATTCTGCCCCTGCTGCCATCATAGGCATGCACGCCACTTTTTCCTGTGCTGGCAATGGTACAAACACCTCAGAAGCACTGGGTAAACTGCTGGTGTTTCAGCATGGGTCAAGGCAGTACCACTGAACTATTCTCTTTTTCCCATTATATGTATTGATTGATTCACCTTCAGGAGGCTGGGGCTGGAGGAGAATCAAATGAAACATAATATAAAATTAACAAGCCCGCCGGGCGGTGGTGGCGCACGCCTTTAATCCCAGCACTCGGGAGGCAGAGCCAGGCGGATCTCTGTGAGTTCGAGGCCAGCCTGGGCTACCAAGTGAGTCCCAGGAAAGGCGCAAAGCTACACAGAGAAACCCTGTCTCGAAAAAACCAAAAAAAAAAAAAAAAAAAAAAAAAAAAATTAACAAGCCCCAGCAATTCATCTGTTGAGATTCCACGGCATGAATGTGGAGGTCAGAGGACAACTCACAGTTAAAAGATAACTAGCAAGAGTCTGTTCTCCTCCACCATGTAGGTCCTAGAGATGGGACAGCATGTAACAGCTTGGCAGTGAGCTCCTTTACCTGCTGAGCCAACTCACCTGTCCTCAACTATCTTATAAATCCAGCACCCTCACTGTCACACACTCACAGTGTTGACTTCAGTGAGTCCCACAGAGGTCTCGAGGATGTCCTCCTTTGAATAAGACAGAGCAGCACAAGTACAAAAGCAGCTCCTTGAGAGTGCATGAAACACTTTATCTGTCTCTTTGGTCTGTTTTCATCCAACCCCAAAGAAATAAATGAGTGTGGTAGCTTGAAAGAAAAGGGCCCCCAAAGCGAGTGGCACTATTAGGAGGTGTGGCCTTGTTGGAGGAAGTGTGTCACTGTGGGGACAGTCTTTGAGGTCACTTTTTGTCATGCTTTCCTCAGTGTGACAGTCAATTGACTTTCTATTGCCTGCAAGATGTAGCACTCTCAGCTCTCAGCACCACATCTGCCTGCGCGCCGCCATGCTCCCCTTCATGACCATAATGGACACAGAACCTCTAAAACTGTAAGCGAGCTGCCCTTAATTAAATGTTTTCTTTATAAGAGTTGTTGTGGTCATGGTTTCTCTTCACAGCAATAGAAACCCTAAGACTACAAGTCATTGAGCCGGGCGGTGGTGGTGCATGCCTTTAATCCCAGCACTCAGGAGGCAGAGGCAGGCAGATCTCTGTGAGTTCGAGGCCAGCCTGGGCTACAGAGTGAGATCCAGGACAGGCTCCAAAGCTACACAGAGAAACCCTGTCTCGAAAAACAAAAACAAAAACAAACAAAAAAAAAAGACTACAGGTCATAACTATTTCTAAACATCTCCAGATAGACACCTAGCGAACAATCTGGGGGTAGGAGGCACTGAAGGATCTTCACCTGCTGGTGTTTATAGCCCCTACCAATCCTTGTGTGATCAAGAGAATAAAAAGGAAGAGATGCACTCACTTCAATGATTGTGAAGAAATGCTCTGGCTTCCTGCCTTCTTGGGTACCCTCTCATCATCCGCTCTACAGTAAGCAGCTGACAGTGTGGCTGGCTCTAGCTAGAGGTCCATGTAATAAGAAACTGAGACCCCCTTTGAAGAGGTCGCCCAATCCCAAGTCTAAGCTTCAGAACAGTGAAGCTTTGGACAGCAATGATGGCAACTCTATGAAACACTCCTAAACCAGAACGCCATCTCCAAATCCCACACCTTCAAGAACAGGGAAGAAATATTATTTTAAGCTGTTTAGTTTTAGGGTCACTTTTTTATGACATAGGTAACAAATACATATTCCTTCCTACCAACAGCTCAAAATATAGTCAGGCATGGTGGCAGATGCCTGAAATCCTCACCTTCAGGAGGCTGGGGCTGGAGGAGAATCAAATGAAGCATAATATAAAATTAACAAGCCCCAGCAATTCATCTGTGGAGGTGTCAAGGATTGGACCCTGGGCCTTGCTAAGCAAGCACTCTACCATTGAGTTACATGCCAGCCTTTACGACATGTTTAGACTCACTTTTCCTAATTCTGTTAGAAACTCTCACTTTCTATTCTCTTCATTAAAAAGCCAGACAAAGTGCATGCCTCCAAAACAGTTTCTAGAAACACAAGCACAGGCAGTGTGGGACCTGCTTTCCCAATGTGGATACTCACTGTGGGAGAACCGTTGAGTGATGGGGGTTCCGGGATAAGGGTAAGTCCTGCTCTCCCACTGAATGTTTCCTTCCTGGACAGCCTTCATGAAACCATGGTAACACTGGTGGGCTACACCTAAAGATGAAAAAAACCAAAGGCGTCAGCTTGGATATCTAACTGTTGGGGGGAGAAATCATTACAATTCTATCTTTTAACTGTTTTATCACTTGTGTAAGTCATGAATGTTTTGAGGAAGTCCAAATTTCTCTCATTTTTATTCAAAGAAAGGAAATGGAATCAAGAAATGTCAAAATTGAAAGAACTACATTTTACCAGGGTACAGGAGGTTCAGAGATGTGTGCAAGGTTACTAAATCAGGTCACATGATAACCCTTGTCCACTTTCAGTTATATCATGTGGCAATAAAGATAATTGGTAGCATTTACTACAGAGCAGAGGGGTGGGGAGTAATTTATCTTTGTGAAGAATCCAATAAAGCAGTGTCTGAAATGAAATAGCTGCTCAAAAGGCTCTGCAGTTAGAGCATGGTAATCAGGAATTTTCCAGCTTAAGCAAGAACGTAGAAGTACATTATTATATAATAGATTATGAAATGTTGAATGTGTGTCTAAGGACGGTGTCTTAAAAGTTAAGAGCTTGGGTGGGCTGGAGTGATGGCTCAGTGGTTAAGAGCACTTGGCTACTCTTCCAGAGGACCCACGTTCACTTCCTACACAGAGGCTCAGAAGAGTCAGCAACTCCAGCTCCAGAGGAACCAACACACGCTTCTGGCCTCAGTGGACACCAGGTACACATGTGTTACACAGACATATATGCAAGTGAAATACCCAAATACATGAAATAAAAATAAATAGATAAAAATTAGGAGCTTGGGGCTGGAGAGTTAGTGGAGCAGTTAAGAGCACTTACTGCCCTTGCAGAGGACCCAGGTTCAATTTCCAGCATGTTGAGCGGCTCAAAACTGCCTGTAACTCCAATTCCATGCCTTCTTTTGGCCTACACAGGCATGTGCACATACGTGGTGCACAAACACTCAAGTCATACACACATACATGTAAAATTAATAAATAACTTTTTTTTAAGTTAAGCGCTCCCAAATGCAGAGGGTCCTCTGGAAGAGTAATTGTTAAGCCATCTCTCCAGTACACCTTTCTTTCTCTTTATGTTTAAGCATATATTAAAACATCTCTATTACCCCCCACTTCTGCTTCATAAAAACATTATTTAAAAAGACCAACTGAGGAAAGACACTGGAGTCAGCCTCTGGTTGGATCTCCATGTACCCACACTAACAAGTACATACAATAAACAGACACACCAGGCCCACAGCTGTCTGTAACTCCAGTGCTAGACATATGATGCTCTCTTCTGACCTCCACAGGCACCAGGCATTGCACATGGAGCACAGAAAATACATACAGGCAAAACACTCATACACATGTATGATAAGAAAAATGTGTTAACTTATCTAATAGTAATTTTCACAACCATAATGTCTTTAAGGGAGAAAAGAAAAAAAGGGAGTCTAAGAGTTCTCTTCAATGGCTTTTTCTGTCCAGGCTGTTACTTGGGGGGATGGGAGCAGGGGTAGTGGTTGCCACAGAAGCCTTCTATGTCCCCCTTTCTCAACTATGAGTCTGCAGTTATCTAGACCACTGCAAAGGCAGCTTCCCTGCCCTTTACAGTCAGCGGGAGCATGGATCATGGACCTCCACATGGCTTCTAGCGACAGTAAGGACCACAGACATCTACATGGCCTTTGGCCTCGGCACGTGCCACAGACCTCAGCATGGTCTCCAGTGGCAGTATAGACCATGGATGTCAACACAGCGATCAAAAAGAGCTCTTAAAAATTGTGATAAGGATGCTGAAGTGTAGCTCTCCCCAGTTGATGGCTTCTGGCAGGGGTTCGGCTGGGGGAGAACTCAGTTTTCTTTAAGGGGCTGGCCACCGGGAGTTTGATCGCGCTCTGGAGAGGATATGGGCAACACAAGTAGGACATGTTTTGTTTCGCGTTTTTTTGGGGGGGTCACAAAGGTGGCGGGGTAGACTTTGGAGGACGGAGAAGTTGAGTGTGATCAGGGTGCATGATATGAAATTCCCAAATAATCAATAAAAATATTACGTTGGAAACATGTTAAATAAGAAAAAGAAAAGGGCGGCTTGGTGGTGGAGGAGCGGGGAAGTGGGGAGGACCTGGGAGGAGATGCTAGAGGGGAAATCATGATCAGAATGCATTGTCTAAGTTTTCAATTAACAAAAATAAATACAAATTTTAAAAAAGGGGGGATCTAAAACTAAATTGCTCAATAAAAGCTGACATAATCAGGGCTCTGCACTTAGGAGATCTTGCTGCTCTTCCAAAGGACTGAGTTCAATTCCAGCTCCCACATTAGATGGCTCACAGCCTTCTATAACTCAAGATTCAGAGGATCTGATGCTCTCTTTTGGCCTCTAGGGGTATCTGCACACATGTAGCATATACATATACAGACAGACAGACAGATACACACACAAATAAACAGTATCTCTTTAAAATATGTGAAATAAGCTGGGCAGTGGTGGTGCACGCCTTTAATCCCAGAACTCGGGAGGCAGAGCCAGGTGGATCTCTGTGAGTTCAAGGCCAGCCTGGTCTACAGAGTGAGATCCAGGACAGGCTCCAAAACCACACAGAGAAACCCTATCTTGAAAAACCAAAACAACAACAACAACAAAAAAAAGCAACTTGAAATACCCTCTGTCTTTTCCATAGTACCTTTGATAAGCCGATACCACTGTTTGCAGACCAGAGCTGCAGTTTTGTGTTCCTGATACGGTGAAAGGAAGGACAGAATATACTCCAAAACCTCTTCTGGCAGCTCAGACATGGACCTATTATGTCTTGTTTCTTCAACTCCCAACACTGGGTGGGGTTCCTCCTCTTGCTCCATTGTCCCTTCCAGCACAGTTTCTTCTTGGTCCACAGCCATGAAACTGTCATCTTCACTGTCAGAGGAGCTGGCCATGACATCCCACTTGAAGCTGTAGAGGGTGAGAAATAAACAACTTTCAGAAGCAGCTGAGCACCTGAGCTGCTCGTGGACTCTTTCCCACACAGCATGAAATTGCTCCAGCATTTCCCCACACTAGCTGGGACCATCGGAATTTGATAAGCCCATCACATCCTCCTTCCCCTAGAATGGCATCAAGTTCTACTGTAACCTTAAAACAAGGAAACTGGGACTAGAGAGAAGGCTCAGCAGTTAAGAGCACTCCACAGATAGGGCTCAAGTTTGGTTCCCAGCACCACACAGTAGCTCACAATAGCCTGAACTCCAATTCCAGGGGACTCAGCACCATTTTCTGGCCTCTATGGGAACTGCACACGTTTATTGGTACACAGACCATACATGCAGGTAAACACTCAAATACATTAAAAATAAATCTTAAAAACAAACAAAACCCACCACCAAGCTGGGCATGGTAACATAGCAGCTTAAATTCTAGCACTTGGGAGGCAGAGGTAGGTGGATAGATCTCTGAGGTTTACACCAGCCTAAACTCCACATAGTGAGTTCTAGACCAACCAAAACTACATAGTGAGACCCTATCTCAAGCAAGCAAAACAACCTAGAAAACTTGTTCTTTCCTAATTCCTTTAACCTCGAGATCTGACTAATACATGATTCAGAGAATAGTCAATGATCCAAAACCTCCCACTGACAAGGAAAAACTAACTCTGGATCCTACAAAAGAGCAGAACACTGGGAAGATCTGAGTTAAGAAACAGCAGTTTAAGCTGGGGTTGGGGGGTGAAGGGGTGGCAGTGCACACCTTTAATCCCAGCGCTTGGGAGGCAGAGGTAGGTGAATCTCTCAGTTGAAGGCCAGTCTGGTCTACAGAACAAGTTCTAGGACAGCCAGGACTACACACAGAAACCCAGTCTTAAAAAAACAAAAACAAACAAAAAATCAGCAGCTTTAAGACAGGTATAGTGGCACACACCTGTGATCCCAGCACTTGGGAGGCTGAAGCAGGAGTCGGAAGCTAGCCTAAGGTACATAATGAGACCTGTCTTGGGGGTGGGGGGAGATGTATGTATGTATGCATGTATGTATGTATGTATGTATATCAGTTTGAAAGGGGGTAGGGTTTAACAGTAGAATGCACGATTAGAGTGCTTGTCCTTACACGGGACAATTCAATTAGAGAATAATGACTGTTCGAAGAACAGGCTTAATTGGCTAAACTGCCAACTATAAAGCAATATGGACAACAGAAAATATGACAAATCTAGGCAATAAAAATAAAAACCCAAAAGGCTAATAACAGAATCAACAGTATGAACTGTCATTCACAATGGAAACCTATGAAGTTAAGAATGACATGTCACATACATGTCTCTCAGAAGCAACTCTCTGCAAAGAGGGCAGAATGCTTACTGCATGACTATTCACACAAGTTCAAAGTTCATCTGTGCTATTATAAGTGAGGACAGTGATTAACATAGCAAGTTCCAAAAGTGCTGGTAAAATTCTGTTCCTAGCTGGGTGGTGGTGGCGCAAGCCTTTAATTGCGGGACTCAGGAGGCAGAGCCAGGCGGATCTCTGTGAGTTCGAGGCCAGCCTGGTCTACAGAGCGAGATCCAGGATAGGCACCAAAACTACACAGAAATCCTGTCTCGAAAAAACAAACAAACAAACAACAACAACAACAAAAATTCTGTTCCTAATTGGGAACAGAAGTGTCTGTCTGTGAAAAAGTCATGTGCTGAATACTCCTGTACTTCACAAGAGTTGATCAGAATATGCTCATCAGTAGTTATTTCTAGTGAAATAGTATCGATAATTTAAATTTCCTTTTGTGCTTAGCTCTATTCACAGAAATTTCTAGAAAGAAAATTCTCTATCGTACACAAAGGCAAACAAGTCATTTGCATGTGCAAAGCCTAAGGTAAAAACAGTAAAATTAAGAAAATGTCATTGATATAAGAACAAGTGTACTGGTTGGTGCACATCTTTAATCCCAGCACTTGATAGGTGAAGAGGCAGGAAGAACTCTGTGAGTTCAAGGCCAGCCAGGACTACCCAGTAAGACCCTGTCTCAACAAGAAAGTTATGTCCCAGTAGACTGAAAGGAGAAGGAGCTAAGCAGAATGAGGACCAAAAGGTTTAGTGGGGAGTAAACTCCCTAAGGGATATGGGAGAAACAGGGACCAGACAAGGGGAGACACAGATCACGATGCCAAGCTGACCAAGCCTGGCTCACAGACCTTACTAAGACAACCAATTAGAAGGATCTGGTGAAGAATGGACAGGGTGAAGCTCCTCTATCACTATTTGGCTAAGGCACTGGCTAAGGACCACTCTAAGAAGACTTGGCTGCAAAGCTCTGGCAGACTTTGAAGAGGCAAACAACTTAGCTGTATTCTTCACAAGGAAAACAGCTTTTTTCTTTCTTTTTTGGGGGGTGGGTATTGGTTTTTTGAGACAGGGTTTCTCTGCATAGCCCTGGCTGTCTTGGAACTTACTCTGTAGACCAGGCTGGCCTTGATTGAACTCAGTGATCTGCTTGCCTCTGCCTGGGATTAGAGTGCTTCTAAACTAGCTCTCTAGCTCCTACTGTTTGCTTTTTTTTTTGAGACATCCTGTAGCCCAGACTGTCTTTGAACTCAGTTATCCTTCTGCCTCAGCTTTCCAAGTGTTAGGATTGTAAAGTGTGAGCCACCACGCCTGGCTTAGTTCCCTTTGCTTGATTCCTGTAGTTCCATACCCTGACTGTTATATACATTGTTTTGCAGGTACACGATGTATTTGGAGCTTATTTCTCATCTCCCCTACCACTCCCACTCTCACTCCCCTGTTCTCTAGAGTTCTGCTCCTATTTCACTTCTGCATACACACAACTGATTCTCTTCTCTAATTTACTACGTTACTTTAACCTCACTCAGCTCTACACTCACCAAAGGAAAAAAAATCCAAGAAAAAGACCGGCGTTGGGTGAGGCCACCGTTCACATCTACTTCAAATGTATCAGCCAGCCCCAGCACATCACTGACAGTGAGCCCAGGGTGGCCTCAGAACAACTGAATCAGAGGAGGTTATGGAAGGTCATTTACATTTCTATTTTTCCCAAGCAGAGTAAATCTGTCTGATTCAAGAAAACAATTCAGCTCCTGTCCAAATCTTCTAAAAGCACAATTAGTAAATCTGTATAGCAGCATTCCCACTGCCTCTGTAAGTTTTAAGGAGCTTTCACTGTCAATCCTTGCATGGTTCACAGAAACATTAGTCCCATGCCCTAAGGGCTCACTTGCTAGCTCCGGCCGACACACCGGATGGCAGAAGCCTTTCCTTGGTAACTGCATGCCGCACCAATTCACACAGTGCTTCCTTCTCACTTCTGTGATCAAGGACTCAGAGCCCCTGAGGACACAGAGGCAGTCCATGCTCTGAATGTTGTTTTGTTTTGTTTTCATTTGGCCTAAAGCATCTCCCACGTAAATGCATTAACTCGAGGAATGTGGTTTCCATGAAGCTGTTTCAAAAGATAAGTTCTCATCCTCACCAGTGTCAGACCTCTTCCTTTTCCCCAGTGATGGTCTTTGGGAAATTCACAATCTGAAGTCAACTCAATAGACCTAGAATGCAAAGACAGGCTGTTTAACTGGGCTTCTTTGCCTTCTGTGGGTCATCCCAATGAGCCTGAGTTTCCTAGATATTTCCCCTCCATCTTAGTTAGGGTTTCTATTGCTGTGAAGAGACACCAGGACCATGGCAACTTTTAAGGAAAACATTTAATTGAGGTGGCAGCTTACAGTTTCAGAGGTTTAGTTTATTATCATCATGGAGGGGAGCATGGCAGCATACAGGCAGACATGGTGCTGGAGCAGGTGCTGAGAATTCTATATCATGATCCAAAGCAACAGGAAGTGAACTAAGACACTGAGCGTGGCTTGAGCATATATGGGACCTCATCTCAAGCCCACCCCACTGTGACACACTTCCTCCAACAAGGCCATACCTACTCCAACAAAGCCATATCTCCTAATAGTGCCACTCCCCATGAGCTTATGGGGACCAATGACATTCAAACTACCACACCCTCAGAGCACCTGTATGCTGACCTTGCATCACTTTATAACAGAAATAACAGAAACCGACTCACACTACAGCAAATCCCCTCTGTAAGTCACTGAGTGAGCCAAGGTAGTCTGCTGGCCAAAACTAATATGTTTATGTCCCTTAAGTTCTGAAGTGTTGTTTTGTTTTTAAAGAGGGCAGCAGAAAGAGTAGGGTTTTTGTTTGTTTGTTTGTTTTTTGAGAATGTCAATTTTATTTGCCAACTGGCCACACTAGCTGAACCACTGAATTCCATCTTCAGTGGGAGACTGTCTCCAATAAGATTTCAAGGTAGGTGAGATGGTTCAGTGGGTAGACACTTTAACGCCAAGCCTGGTGACTTCAGTCCAATCCCCGGAACCCACACGGGAGAAGGAAAGAGCCAGTTCCCACACGTTTCTACCCTATCTCCCCCATATGCGCCAAAGAACATGTACACAGACAGACAGACAGACAGATATAACTGAAACTCAGTTGATTCAGTTAAAATGCAGTTGAAGATTCAGAACAAAATCCATCTTGCTCTTCATAACTTTAAAAAAATTGACCATAATCACAGAGATGCAGTTAGAAATTAGGAAGTTCCCACCTCAGAGGTGCCAGTGTGAGCTAATGACAGTGCTGCTCCTGACAATACAAACACTGCTGGATGAGGAATCTATACACAGTCATAATATGGTTCACCCAAAGAGAACACTAAGCCTTAAGATTATACTGCCATTATCAACCTTATCTTTGTACCAAGTCAAATGAAAAGTTACAGAAAGTAGAAAAATTATAAAGGATAGTATTTTGCCATATTTCATGAAGTCAACAAATATCAATGCAACATGTACTGGGACCAAAGTACCGTATATTGTAGAATATTATTTTAAGGTATGTTACTTTTGCTTATGTTGCATTTGTTTAACTCTGTGAAGCTGTGTTACTGTGCCTGTCTAAAACACCTGATGATCTAAAAAGAGCTGAATGGCCAATAGTGAGGCAGGAGAGAGAAATAGGCGGGGCAGGCAGGCAGAGAGAATAAATAGAAGGAGAAATCTGGGAGAGGAGAGATCAAAGAAGAGAAGTAACGAGAGAAGGAGGAGGACGTCAGGGGCCAGCCACTCAACTACACAGCCAGCCACAGAGTAAGAGTAATGAAAAGTATAGAGAAATAGAGAAAGGGAAAAGCCCAAAGGCAAAAGGTAGCTGGAATAATTTAAAGTTAAGGAAAGCTGGCTAGCAACAAGCCAAGCTAAGGCCGGACATTTATAATTAAGACTAAGCCTCTGGCCGGGCGGTGGTGGCGCACGCCTTTAATCCCAGCACTCGGGAGGCAGAGCCAGGCGGATCTCTGTGAGTTCGAGGCCAGCCTGGGCTACCAAGTGAGTCCCAGGACAGGCGCAAACCTACACAGAGAAACCCTGTCTCGAAAAACCAAAAAAAAAAAAAAGACTAAGCTTCTGTGTGTGATTTATTTGGGAGCTGGTGGCAGGCCCCTGAAAGAGAAAAAACAAACAACAACACTATACTCAGGACCGGAGAGATGGTCAAAGCACTTGCCATACAAACCTGACAACTCGAGTTCCATCCTTGGGTGCCATGGTGGAAGGAGAGAGCCAACTCTCAAAAGTTGCCCTCTCATATCCACTGTGGCATGCACATATTGGGACATACACATAAATTATTTAAAATACTGTTTGGATCTCACAAAAGGTACAAAAAGAGAATGGTCCCACTAAAAGCTAATAACACATACCATACGTGAGCAATAGCAGAGCAGTGTATGTTAAATTATGCATGGTATCAAGCTTGAACAGCTCAAGAGAGGCAAGGACTTTGCCCACTGTGGTAAGATGCTAGAGAGATGTGCTGAATTCCACTTGGCTAACAGGTAGGATTTCAGAGCATCAAAAGGAAAGTGGGGATGGGAGGGTTTCACATTACTAGTTCTTAAACTGATAATTTGCCAGTTAGAAAACACACTAGAAAAAAGGGTAAAATCCATTTGGCACCCAAACAGATGTTTTGACCACACTCACGATATTAAAATATCTTATCTATAGTAACAGAAGCTCATAATCAGGAGACTCCTTCACTCCTGGCAGTCAATGATTTAACAACAACAAAAAAAGTCTAGAAATAGAATGTTTTGGCATAACTACCACTGTACTGTTGCTATTAGCAAACTGAGTTCCTCTGATACAGACACCACTGAGTGGCTTCTATAAAGCATCCCACATTTAATAACAGATGTCAGCAGCAGTAAGGGTTTTTTCAATGGTTAACATGTCTGTTACCCAATTAGGATTCCCTTTAATAAAACAGGAAAATAAAGTATGTCCTCAAATTACCTATCTGTATTACTGTATTACCCATCAGCATTCTTTTTGCTTGGAGACAGTCTTTTGACATAGTCCAGGCCTCCAACTCACAGACATCCACCTACCTCTGCCTCCCGAGTGCTGGGATTAAAGGCGTGCACCACCACTGCCAGGCTGCAGCAGACACCTTTACCTGAGTAGCCACCTCACTAGCCCTGAATTTCTATAGCTAAGGAAAGATGGTACAGACATACAAAGTATAGGCTAACTCTGCTTATAATCATTTGGTATACAGGGGCTGGAGAGATGGCTCAGCAGATAAGAGCACTGGCTGTTCTTCCGTAGGACCTGAGTTCAATTCCCAACAAGCACATGGCAGCTCACAACTGTTTGTAACTCCAGTCCAGGGGATCTGATACCTTCACACCAATGCACATAAAAATAAATAATTAATCTTCCTGCCTCAGCTTCCTGATTGCCTGTGCTACCATGTCCAGCTCTCTCACTACATTATTTACGTCAATTATTAATAAGATTTAACTACCTACACTGTATTTTACTTTTATCTAATAAACTCCAACTGATTATATCAATGAAACTTTATTACAGTCAAATCACAGAGTTTTATAACCTTATTCCACAGAGCTTGGTGTTTTACTAATAGGTTCTCATATGATAATTAGTTTAATGCCACTGAAGAAAAAGTCCAAACCTTATTCCAAAGTTATACAGGCCAGAAAACTCATGATGCAGAGGAGCATGTGACATGATAAGCCCACTGCTTCATGGTGTCAGTTGAAGAGGAGGAGCAGAACAGCCCACTCATCCACAGCAGGCCTGTGTCCATACAAGGACCAGCTTTATTAACTTAATTCACTGTGTTCTGTACACCAGTTCTGCAGAGTGAAATGGTCTTTCCTAACATTTCCTAGAGCTGCATTTGCAAATGCCATCTGAGTGATTTCTGCTACTGCATAGGCAGAACGAAAAGAAGGCAGAAAAGTCTAAGTACTTCATTTGGCAACATCCATCCATTTAAATACGTAAACAGGGGAGGGGGCTTGACTGAGCAAGGTCATTTTCAGGCATCTTTCCACTGCAAACAGTCATATACACACAGCACATGTGCAGAGGCAGCTTCAAGCACATCCCTTATAATAATAAAACCCTGCAAAACTGAGGTGTCTATAATGGGAGAAGCAATGCTATAACTGGGTCCCACAGCTTTGGTTGCCCTAGCCTAGAACTCACTACAGTAGTTCAGCTGGCCTCAACTACCCCTTTTGTTACTCACATAATTTAAACAGACATTAGGTGGAGATGAGTGGGCTCCACAGACATCTAAAGCACTCTTCCACAAGGAATTTCAGCTTCCAAACATTTACCATCAATGAACCTTTAACCTTTGCTAATCTCCAATGGATATCAGGAAGCCTGAGTACTTTTAAAACCTCACCTCTCGCCGGGCGGTGGTGGCGCACGCCTTTAATCCCAGCACTCGGGAGGCAGAGCCAGGCGGATCTCTGTGAGTTCGAGGCCAGCCTGGGCTACCAAGTGAGTCCTAGGAAAGGCGCAAAGCTACACAGAGAAATCCTGTCTCGAAAAACCAAAAAAAAAAAAAAAAAAAATTAAAACAAACAAACAAACAAAAAAAAACACCTCACCTCTCTAGCATACTAATAGGTACTTATAATATCAATATTTTTTTTAAAGATTTATTTATTTATTATGTATACAGTGCTCTGCTTGCATGAATCCCTGCAGGCCAGAAGAGGGCACCAGATCTCATTACAGATGGTTGAGCCACCACGTGGTTGCTGGGAATTGAACTCAGGACCTCTGGAAGAGCAGCCAGTGCTCTTAACCGCTGAGCCATCTCTCCAGCCCAATATCAATATTTTGCTTTCTTACACTGTTGAGGATCAAACCCATAGCAAGCACTCTATCATCTGATTATACTCCCAGGCAATTTTAACACCTTTTTGTTGTTGTTTTATCACCTTGTTTTATGTGAGTGTTTTGCCTGCACATATGTTTGTGTATCACACGTGTACCTGGTGCCTGTGGAAGTCAGAAGAGGACATCAGATCCCCTGGAACTAAAGTTACAGATAGTTGTGAGCCATCATGTGGGTGCTGGGAACCAAACCCAGGTCCTCTGCAAGAGCAACCAGTGCTCTTAACTGCTGAGCCACCTCAACAGCCCCGTATTTG